GATCACAGGCATGAGTCACCATGCCCAGGCTGGAATATCCTTTATAATAAAACAGCAAACATACTTAAGTGTTCTCTGCGAGTTCTTCGAGCCACTCTAGCAAATTAACAGAACCCAAGGAAGTGGGCTGGTGGGTGAGAAACACGGGCAAAATACCCCGGGGTGAGGTTGCAATCTGCATCAGAAATAGAGCTCGGTCTGGTGGAACTGAGTCCTCCGCCTGTATGATCTGATGCGATTGAGATGGAGCAGGGACCCCTCCCCACCAACACCCACTTAGGGGCCTGTTGAGCACCTCACCCCAAGCATGGAAATAAAGAAAAATCTTGAGTTTCTTTAAGAGAATTTCCAGGCACCTAGTTAGCCCTGAGAAGTAAACAAGTGACTTGATAAGCAAGAATATATTGGTAGCCTAAAACAATAGCCAAGGACACTAGAATTATAGGACATTTGGTTCCCGGTGGAAACTAAAGATAATATCTTAACATATGTCTCTGAGTTGTTTTTGAGAAACCTGGACTCCCACCAAATGGATCAGCTAGCAGGCAGATGTCAGATAATGGGGAGCTAAGGACTGAATTCTGACCACTGTTCTTTGTCTTAAATTTATTCCTGAGGGGTCTAGAGGGAGTCACACCCATGAGCCAGAGCTAACATTCTTTTCTGCTGACCCCAATTTTTATTTTTTTGAGACAGTGGCTCACTGTCACTCAGGGTGGAGTGGCACTATCTCAGTTCACTGCAACCTCCACCTCCCAGATTCAAGCGATCCTCTCACCTCAGCCTCCTAAATTTCTGGAACCACAGGTGCATGCCACCACGCCAGGCTAATTTTTTGGATTTTTGGTAGAGATGGGGTTTTGCCATGTTGCCCAGGTTGGTCTTGTACTCCTGAGCTCAGGTGATTCACTTGTGTTGACCTCCCAAAATGCTGGAATTACAGGAATGAGCCACTGCACCCAGCATGACCCCAAATTGTTAAATGAAGCTTTTCTTCTGTAACGAATTGCAAATCAGAAAATCTTTGAATCTACCTATGATCTGTAAGCTCATGCTGCAAACTATCCTATGCTTTCAGGCCAAAACCAATGTGTAGCCTTCATGTATTGATTTATTATTTTATCTGTAACTTCCGCTTTCTTAAAATTAACCCCTGCTAGCTGGGCACAGTGGTTCACACCTGTAGTCCCAGCACTTTGGGAGGCTAAGGCAGATGAATCACCTGAAGTCAGGAGTTCAAGACCAACCTGGCAAACAGTGAAACCCTGTCTCTACTAGAAATACAAAAATTAGCCAGGCATGGTGGTGGGTGCTTGTAATCCCAGCTACTTGGGAGGCTGAGGCAGGGGAATCACTTCACCCTGGGGAGGCCTGTAATCCCAAAACTCTGGGAGGCCAAGGTAGGCAGATCATGAGGTCAGGAGTTTGAGACCATTCTGGCCAATATGGTGAAACCCCATCTTTACTAAAAAATACAAAAATTAGTTGGGCATGGTGGTGCACGCCTGTAGTCCCAGCTACTCAGGAGGCTGCAGCAGGAGAATTGCTCAAACCTGGGAGGTGGAGGTTGCAGTGAGTGGAGATTGCGCCACTACACTCCAGCCTGGGCAACAGAGTTAGACTCCATCTTGAGGCCGGGGGTGGGGGTAGGGGAAGAGGTAGACCTCAATATAATAATAGCTGGAGACTTCAGTCCCCTGCTTTCAGCATTGGCTAGATCTCCCAGACAGAAAATGAAGAAACGTCAGACTCAATCTGCACTATAGGTCAAATAGACCTAATAAATATCTACAGAACATTCTCATCCAGCAGCTGAATATACATCCTTTCCCTCAGCACATGGATCATTCTCAAGGACAGACCATATGTTACATTACAGTTTTGTTTTTGTTTTTGTTTTGAGACAGTCTTGCTCTGGCACCCAGGTTGGAGTACAGTGGTATAATCTTGGCTCACTGCATCCTCTGCCTCCTGAGCTCAAGTGATTCTCCCATCTCAGTCTCCTGAGTAGCTGGAACTACAGGCATGTGCTACCACACCTGGATAATATTTGTATTTTTTTGTAGAGATGGGGTTTTTCCAGGTTGCCCAGGCTGGTCTTGAACTCCTGGGCTCAAGCAATCTGCCTGCCTCGGCCTCCCAAACTGTGGAGATTACAGGTGTGAGCCACTGCCCCTGACCCTTTAGGTTCAGGGATACATGTGCAGGTTTGTTATATAAATGAGTTTTGTGTTGTGGGCATTTGGTGTACAGATTATTTTGTCCCACAGGCAATAAGCATAGTACCCAGTAGGCAGTTTTTTGATCCTCACCCTCCTCCCACCTTCCACCCTCAAGTAGGCCCCAGTGTCTGTTGGACCCTTCTTTGTGTCCATATGTACTCAATGTTTGGCTCCACTTGCAAGTAAAAACATGTGGTATTCAGTTTTCTGTTCCTATGTTAGTTTGTTAGGATTATTTACTCCAGCTCCATCCATGGTGCTGCAAAGAACATGATCTCATTCCCTTTTTAAGGCTGCACAGTATTCCATTGTATATATGTACCACATTTTTAAAAGTTCAGTCTACAGTTGATGGGCATTTAGGTTGATTCCATATCTTCGCTATTGTGAACAGTGTGGCAATGAACATATGTGTGTGTGTGTCCTTATGGTAGAATGATTCATATTCCTTTGGGTGTATATCCAATAATGGGATTGCTAGGTAGAATGGCAATTCTATTTTAAGTTGTTTGAGAAATTACCAAACTGCTTTCCACAATGGCTGAACTAATTTTCATTCCCACCAGCAGTGTGTAAGTGTTCCCTTTTCTCCACAATCTTGCCAGCATGTTATTTTTTGACTTTTTAATAGTGACCATTCTGACGGTGTGAGATGGTATCTTATTGTGGTTTTGATTTGCATTTCTCTAATGACTAGTGATGTTGTGCATTTTTTCATATGCTTGATTGGCCATGCATATGTCTTTTTTTGAAAAGTGTCTGTTTGCATCTTTTGCCTTTTTTTTTTTTTTTTGAGACAGGATCTCGCTGTCTCCCAGGCTGGAGTGCAGTGGTGCAATCTCAGCTCACCACAAGCTCGGTTTCCTGGGCTCAAGTGTTCCTCCCACCTCAGCCTCCTGAGTAGAGGACTACTTAGGGACTACAGGTGTGTGCCATCATGCCCAGCTAATTTTTTGGGGCATTTTTTGTAGAGATGGGGTTTCACCATGTTGCCCCAATTTTTTGTCCACTTTTTAATGGGGTCGTTTGGTTTTTGCTTGCAAATTTGTTTCAGTTCTTTATGGATTCTGGATACTAGATCTTTGTTGGATACATAGTTTGCAGACATTTTCTCCCATTCTATAGGTTTGTCTGACAAAACACATCTTAAAGCATTTTTAAAAAAGTTGATTTTTTAAAATGAAATAGTATCAATCATCTCCCCTGACCACAAAAGGATAAAACAAAATCAATAAGAAGAATTTTGGAAACTATACAAACACAAGGAAATTAAACAATATGCTCCTGCATAACCAGTGGGTCAAGGAAGGAATGAAGAAGGAAATTGAAACATTTCTAACCAGGCACGGTGGCTCATGCCAGTAACCCCAGCACTTTGGGAGGCCGAGGTGATGGATCACCTGAGGTTGGGAGTTTGAGACCAGCCTGACCAACATGAAGAAACCCTGTCTCTATTAAAAATTAGCCGGGCATGGTGGCACGCACCTGTAATTCCCAGCTACTCAGAAGTGCCGTTGCACTCCAGCCTGGGCAACAAGCAAAACTCCATCTCAAGAAAAAAAGAAAAGAAAAATTTATTGAAATAAATGATAATGGAAATATGACATACTAAAACCTATAGGGTACAGTGAAAGCAATACTAAGAGGGAAGTTTATAGCTATAAGTGCCTATATCAAAAAATAAGGGCCGGGCGCAATGGCTCACACTTGTAATCTCAGCACTTTGGGAGGCTGAGTTGGGCGGATCATGAGGTCAGGCGTTCGAAACCAGCCTGGCTAACATAGTGAAACTCCGTGTCTACTAAAAATATAAAAATTAGCTGGGTGTGGTGGCATGCACCTGTAATCCCAGCTACCCAGGAGGCTAAGGCAGAATTGCCTTGAACCCAGGAGGTGGAGGTTGCAGTGAGCCGAGATCATGCCACTGTACCCCAGCCTGGGCAACAGAGTGTAATTTCATCTCAAAAAGAAAGAAAGAAAGAAAGAAAGAAAAGGCCAGGTGCAGTGGCTGACACCTGTAATCCTAGCACTTTGGGAGGCTGAGGCGGGTGGACCACTTGAGCTCAGGAGTTTGAAGCCAGCCCAGGCAACATGGTGAAGCCCCTTCTCTACAAAAAATAGGCTGGGTGTGGTGGCTCACACTTGTAATCCCAACACTTTGGGAGGCTGAGGCAGGCAGATCCCCTGAGATCAGCAGTTTGAGACCAGCCTGGCCAACACGGTGAGACCCTGTCTCAACTAAAAATGCAAAAGTTAGCTGAGTGTGGTGGTGCATGTCTGTAATCTCAGCTACTTGGGAGGCTGAGGCAGGATAATTGCTTGAACCTGGAAGGTGGAGGTTACAGTGAGCTGAGATGGTGCCACTGCACTCCAGCCTGAGTGACAGAGTAAGACTCCATCTCAAAAAAATACCAAAAAACAAAAATACAAGTTAGTTGGGTGTGATGGTGCATGCCTGTAGTCCCAGCTACATGGAAGGCTACTTGGGAGGGAGAATTGATTGTGTTTGGAAGGTCGTGGATGCAGTGAGCCATGTTCATGCCTCTGCACTCCAGCCTGGGCAACAAAATGAGACTCTATCTCAAAAAATGAAATAAAATAATGAAAACTTCTGCCAGGAGCTGTGGCTCACACCTGTAATTCCAACACTTTGGGAGGCCGAGGCGGGTGGATCAGAAGATGGTCAGGAGATCGAGACCATCCTGGCCAACATGGTGAAGCCCCGTGTTAAAAAAAAAAAATTAGGGAGAAGCATCTCAGCAACCCGACCACGGCCAGTCTTCCCTGGATACCATGAACCACACCATCCAAACCTTCTTCACTCCCACCAGCACCAACCGTTCCCCGAACTATGAGATGCTGAAAGAGGAACATGAGGTGGCTGCTCTGGGGGCGCCTCACAACCCTGCACCCCCGATATCCACCGTGATCCACATCCGAAGCGAGACCTCCGTGCCCGACCACGTCGTCTGGTCCCTGTTCAACACCCTCTTCATGAACTCCTGCTGCCTGGGCTTCATAGCGTTCGCCTACTCCGTGAAGTCTAGGGACAGGAAGATGGTTGGCGACCTGACTGGGGTCCCGCAGGCCTACGCCTCCATCGCCAAGTGCCTGAACATCTGGGCCGTGATTTTGGGTATCATCATGACCATTCTGCTGATCATCATCCCAATACTGATTCTGCAAGCCTATCAGTAGATCCAGAGGAATCATCCCGGCCAGGGGCTCTGCCCCGTGACCTGTCTCCCACGTACTCCAGCTTCCATTCCTCGCCCTGCCCCCAGCCGATCCTGTATCAGCCTTTTACCCTCACACTTCTACAGTTGTGTTCAATAAAGTGCACATGTTCCTGAAAAAAAAAATTAGTTAGATTACATTTTTTTAAATTTTAGAGATGGAGTCTCGTTCTGTATTCCAGGCTAGAGTGCAGTGGTGTGATCTCGGCTGACTGCAACCTCCCCTCCTGGGTTCAAGCAATTCTCCTGCCCCCGCCTCCTCAGTAGCTAGGATTACTGACTAGTTTTAGCTTAGACCACCCGACTAGTTTTTTTGTATTTTTGGTAGAGATGTGGTTTTACCTTATTGGTCAGGCTGCTGTCGAACTCCTGACCTCGTGATCTGCCCACTTCAGCCTCCCAAAGTGCTGGGATTACAATTGCAAGCCACCACACCCGGCCTAACATTTTTATTTTTTTATGAGATGACTTTCCTTCTCTCACCCATGCTGGAGTGCAGTGGCTGATCTCGGCTCACTGCAACCTCTGCCTCCTGGGTTCAAGGGATTCTCCTGACTCAGTGTATCCATCAGCTTGGATTACAGGCATGCACCACCAGGCCCAGCTAATTTTTGTTGTTGTTTTTTTTTTTGTTGAGAAGGAGTCACGCTCTGTTGCCCAGGCTGGAATGCAATGGTGTGATCTGGGCTCACAACAACCTCTGCCTCCGGGTTCAAGTAATTCTGCCTCAGCCTCCCGAGTAGGTGGGATTACAGGTACCTGCCATGATGCCCAGCTAATTTTTGTATTTTTAGTAGCGATGGGGTTTCACCATGTTGGTCAGGCGGGTCTCGAACGCCTAACCTTGTGATCCACCTGCCTCGGCCTTCTAAAGTGCTGGGATTACAGTCATGAGCCACTGTGCCCAACCAAAGACAATTATTTTTATTCTAAGAGCGATAAACCACTGAAAGGATATAAAGTTTTCATAGTGTCACTTTGCCAACAGTGTTAGAAAATAATTTATTTGGAAGGGGTCAAGAATGAAGGACTGGGAGAAAAAAATTATTCCAGTGGACCTCCACAGAGAAGGCAAGGGAAGAGGATCAGCAGGCTCCTAATCAACCAAACACGATTGCTTTGCCAGGAACATCAGCAAAGGAGGGAAGCAAAGGAAAAGTATCTGTCAAAGGTGACAGTGCTCTGCCCTAAGAAGAAGGCAGACTATGATAACCCCAGACCTCAGAAGAAGATGCCAATCCCTCCCTTACCCTCTAAACTGCCACCTGTTAATCTGATTCACCGGGACATCGTGTGGGCCTGATGTCAGCAATTAAAGCTGAGCACCAGAGGCCAGAAACTGGATGCATATAAGCGCCTGTGTGCCTTTGCTTACCCAAACCAAAAGGATTTCCCTAGCACAGCAAAAGAGGCCAAAATCCGGAAATCATTGCAAAATAAATGAAAGTTGGATAAAGGGAAAGCATGCCTGCAGAGTTCTGGGATACAGCCTCCTCAAGTGGCCCTTCCCCTGCGGAGGGGCTGCCTGCTCTGGAGGGGCCCACTGATCTCCTTGAGGGAGTTAATACAGTTGTGGTGACAACTTCTGTCCCAGAGGCTGTGCTGGCCTCCTAGGCGAGAATTTCAGCCAGGGCCAGGACGCCAGAGGCAGTGGAATCTCCACAAGAAGCCAGTGGTGTCAGGTGGTGTGTGGTTCATGGGAAAAGTCTCCCTGAAGACACAGATGGTTGGCTGCACCTGCAGTTTCATGCTGGTCAAGCCTGGGTTCCAGAAAAGCAAGAAGGGAGAGTGAGCGCGCTCTTCTTGCTTCCTGCCTCCAGTTTTCCACCCTCGCACCTTGAAGAAAATATGTTGTGCCCCAAATGTGTTCACAGGAACAAGGTCTTAATAAAAAGCCTCCAGTGGGAATAGAATATCAGGAAAAAGGCCATATCTATGGTAATTAATGATAGAAAGGCTGGAGAGTTGGATTCCATGGTGCTGCTGACTGGTGAACTTGGTCCTCTCCACACCTGCTTACGGGCCATGCAGACTGCTGGGGCGGCAGCTCTTAGCCTAAGACCCCTAGCAGTGCCTGTTACTTTGTGAGTAGATATGATAGACTTTTGCATTCAAAAAAGGAAAAACATTTCACAAATTACCATAAATTGTAGTTAATATGTAGAAAAACTCATTCATACAAACTTTCTAAAATAGAAAAGACTTCAGCAGCTGTTTTGTTTTGTTCTGTTTTATTTTTTATTTGAGACAGTATCTCGCTCTGTTGCCCAGGCTGGCGTGCAGTGGTGCGATCTCATTTCACTGCAATCTCCGCCTCTTGGGCGCAAGTCATTCTCCTGCCTCAGACTCTCGGGTAGCTGGGATTACAGGTGCCTGCCACCACACCCAGCTATTTTTTAATTTTCAGTAGAGATGGGGTTTCACCTTGTTGGCCAGGCTGGTTTCAAACTCCTGGCCTCGAGTGATCCCCCCTGCCCCTCGGCCTCCCAATGTGCTGGGATTTACACGCATGAGCCACTGTGCCTGCTTTCAGCAGCTCTTTTAAGTGAGAACTTCTTCAGCTGAGCATTGGAAGGAGTTGAGTAAAACAGTAGTTTGCTCCTGTGCTCAATTTTTCCTCCTCTGGACACTGATGACTTTAGGAGCTGCTTCATTCCAATTGCAATTTTATTAAACATTTCATAAAAAGTATTTTAAGGCAAAGAAAGGCTGTTAATTCTCTCCCTCCCCCAAAACATGATTCTTAATATTCAAAACAATATTTTTCAGAGTTCTCTTAATCTCTTAATTTATGGTGTGACTACAGAATCAAAACACAAGGCACTTTGTATTATTTCACTTAAAATTTTGTATATTTCTGGTGTTTAAAATGTTTAACGTTGCTTCCCCACTCAGAAATACATAATATATTGAACTTAAAATGTGTTTATTAACCAATTCTCCATAAATAAATGTGTATAGAAAATAATTCATCTGTTGTATTTAGGGAACCGTATTCACTGCATGCAAATTATTGTTAGTGTTCTTAACTCAAAGCAGGAGTAAACTGAAACGTGTGACTTTTCTTTTGCATTACTCATTTGTTTTTTCTTTATTAGTTGGTGGTGTGGGTTGGATCATATGTTTTTTAAAACTACTTAGGTGTAATTGACATACAAAAATTGTACATATTTAATGTATCTGATTGAGTATAATTAATTTTTATTTGTGTGTGTACTTCCTAAATTTATAATCCTGTGAGTCTGGGAACAGATCTGTCTTTCACTTGTCATAATTTAATGACAGTTTCCAACATTGTTAATGAAGATAAGAAAAATAATGCACTGGAAGGAGTGGCAGAGTTGGAAAATTTGTAGCCATTATATTATAGATGTAATAGGTTGGGAAAGAATCTTCAAAAATGTTAAAACAAGGAAGGAAAGTTTATTGAGAAGCAAGATGTTCTTTTCTCCTGCCCCCCATTGGTGTCTGGTGGTCAGAGTTGTTCAGTGTAATAAATAATAGACATTTTTTTCTTAAAAAAAAATTAAGGGCCAGGTGCGGTGGCTTAAGCCTGTAATTCCAGCACTTTGGGAGGCCGAGGTGGGTGGATCACGAGGTCAAGAGATCAAGACCATCCTGGTCAACATGGCGAAACCCCATCTCTACTAAAAATACAAAAAATTAGCTGGGCATGGTGGCGCGTGCCTGTAATCCCAGCTACTCAGGAGGCTGAGGCAGGAGAATTGCCTGAACCCAGGAGGCGGAGGTTGCGGTGAGCCGAGGTCGTGCCATTGCACTCCAGCCTGGGTAACAAGAGCGAAACTCTGTCTCAAATAATAATAATAATAATAAAATAAAATAAAACTTCAAAGAAATAACCTAATGATGCATGTTAAAGAACTGGAAAAGCAAGAACAAACCAAATGAAAAGTTAGAGATAAATGAAATTGAAATGAAGAAAACAGTACAAAATATCAACAAAACAAAAGCTGCTTTTTTGAAAAGAACAGGACAAACCTTTAGCCAGGCTAACTAAGCAAAAAAGAGAGAAGACAACTAAATAAAACCAGAGATGAAAAGGAGACATTACAATTGATACTGCAAAAATTCAAAGGATCATTAGTGGCTAGGATGAGCAACTATATGCCAATAAATTGGAAAATCTAGAAGAATTAGATAAATTCCTAGATGCATATAACCTACCAAGATTGAACCATGAAGAAACCCAAAACCTGAACAGATCTGTAACAAATAATGAGATTGAAGACATAAAAAGGCTTCCAGCAAAGAAAAGCCCAGGACTGGAAGGTATCACTGCTAAATTCTACTAAAATATTTAAAAAGAACTAATATCAATCCTACTGAAACTATTCTGAAAAACAGAGGAGGAGGGAATTCTTCTAAATTGATTCTATGCAGCCAGTATTACCCTGATAACAAAACCAAACGAAGACATATCAAAAAAAGAGAAAAAGATAGGCCAATATCACTGATGAATATTGATGTAAAAATCCTCATCAAAATACTAGCAAACTGAATTCAACAACACTTTAAAAAGATCATTCATCATGACCAAGTGGGATTTATTGTCCTAGGAATGCAAAAAGATTCAACATATGGAAATCAATCAATGTGATACATCATATCAATAGAATAAAGGACAAAAACCATACAATCATTTCAACTGATGCTGAAAAAGCATGTGATAAAGTTCAACATCACTTCATGATAAAAACTCGAAAAACTGACTACAGAAAGAACATACCTCAACACAGTAACAGTCAGGTATGACAGACCTACAGCTAGTACCATACTGAATAGGGAAAAACGGAAAGCCTTTCCTTTAAGATCTGGAACATGACAAGGATGTCCACTTTCACCACTGTTACTCAACAAAGATATAGAAGTCCTATGTAGAGCAATCAAGATGTGAAGGCATCCAAACTGGAAAGGAAGAAGTCAAATTATCCTTGTTTGCAGATGATATAATTTTTTTTTTTGCAGTAACTGGCAACAAGATAGGATGTTATATTTGGAAAAACTTAAAGACTCCATAAGAAAACTGTTAGAC